ACTTCACTTTTTTATTTTAAATGAAAAGGTGAATTTACCCTTTAAAGCTGTGCTCCTCTAAACTTTCCCGTAAAGGAAATTCACCTGGTAACCAGGACAGGAAGAGTAGGGAAATCTCCCCAATGGGAATACACACAGAAATAATTTGAGTAAGGATCTGATCATTACTCTATCCAAAACAAAACGTTTTGGCTGGAGCTGGGCTTTAAAACAAACAGACACTTGGGTGTTAGTGTTACATATGCTTTGTAAGGTATCAAGCTTTCCGATGCCAGCATTTATTAACTATACCTGTAGATGTTGTGTGACTCCTTAGTAAGACAGGTTGAGGAATTATACCCCGATAGTTCAATAATTGGTTGAACAGACATCTCACCCTCCGCAAAGAGGAAGCTGGGAGTGTGCCGCTGGAGGGCAGGCGAAGTAGGGACTGCATGGGACACAGATCTAGGTACAATGATAAACATATACTTCTCAGACTAGTGCAAAGACATTAAATATTTACTGTAATTTGAATATGTAGTAATGAAGGTTTCATTTGCATACAACTGAATTAGCTAACTTTAATACATGCGTTTATCTCAGTTACACTCATACCAAAAGGTAGTATAATCTCTATTGGGTCTTGCGAGTTCTAAAGTGGTTGTTTATGTATCAGGAACATTTGTTTGTATATTCAGCTCCTTCCATGTGTTCTATAAAACACACACTGATTGTTGTCTGACAAATGTATATATGAATGACTTTAAAATATGTTGACTGTATGACTGTGCCCTGAATTTATTAGTAATATGAATTTGTTGGGGTGAAAACACCTCCACAGATCAGATTAGCTGCATCAAGAAACAAAGTGGGTGGGAGCTGACAACTTTACTAATTAATGTCAGGGGGCAAATTGATGTGGATTATCTGTTAAAAACTCCAAACCAACACTGTTGTTGCAAGTCTTGGCATCACACACATCTGTGTCTGGATTACACTCTTCCAAGCTGAACTCCAGACAAACATATTAGGGCATTGATCTACTGGCTGAAGGATTTGTATTTCTGGCAACTCATTCCTGAGATCTATATAGCCCTGTCAGGCATCATAGGTAAGTTGGTGACCAAACTTTTAATAACACAGCTGGGTCACCTCTCTGACCCTCCATCCCATCCACCTGTGATTGGACAGTGAAGGAACATCTGCAGAGTAATAAAATCAGCAGAATACACTCTCCTCCTACCAGCAGGCTCCTACTCAGTATATCTGCATGCAGAACACCTGACTGGCTACCTGTTCAGCCCCTCCATCTCCCAGTCTGAGTACTGCTATACAGAGGCTTGCTAGAGGTTGATATTCAGATACTTCTACTCTGACTGCCTTTAGGTGATCCGTGAAAACTCATGTCTTCAGGGAGGCCTATCCCACCTCTACCTGACAACTGAACTATCACTTTCTCAAACAACTCATCCCTTACAATTACTATCCTTTGCCCCTCCCTTTTGGGAACGTTTCACACTGTGGCGTTCTGTGAATGCACGTCATTTCGGCGCGTTCAGGCAACACATCAAATGCACTTGCGGTGCCATTGCTTGTTAATTGCACTACAAATGCAGCCAGGAAAACACACGTTTTTTTCACACACATAGACCTGCGTCAAGCGCGTGGTCAAAAAACACAGGATGCTCGCAGCTGAAAACATTGCATGAGCTTCTTTGCTGCAGTTGTCGCAGAGATGAGTGGGCTGATGCGCAGCAACTGCAGCAAAGGTGCTCACAAGCACATATTTTTGGATCAGCAAGTGTAAACTGGGCCTAAGGTTGTAAGCTCCTGTGCTGAACTGTATTGTATGTGTACCATCTCCCTCTGCATTGGAAAGCTCTATGCAAACTGTTGGCACCATATAAATTCTGTAGAACAATAATAATAACAATAATAATATCTGTCTGGAGTTCCGCTTTAAGAACTATGTAGGCAGAATGTTTGAAGTGAACAGAACCCTGCAGCTGTCCATGCTGTATTATCAATGTCACTGCTCATGGCAGAGTTTACGGTGCAGCCAATGCAGGTCAGCGCACGTACATCAGTATCCAGCGTATTATAATGTCCCTCCCCAGCAACTACTTCTCACTCTGTCACTTCCCGAGTCCTCCGCGACCCCAGCTGTTGTGTCACCGGCTCATAAGCTACGGAGGAAAGGAAAAAGGAAAGCACAAAGTCCGCCCGGAAACTCTTCCCCCTCTCCAGTACTCAAGCAATGTCAATGTACAGAGCCGGTGATCGATCAAAACTACGAACTTATCGAGTTGTGGGACCACATGACAGCTGAGCCTGCGCAGAAGCCTCTCTCAGGCCATGTGACCCGCCACACGTGATGTCCTGGAGCCACGTGACTGCCAAGACTGCAGAGCGGAGGACTTGAATGTAATAGAGGGGAGTCTATGTACAGGAGACTGCGAGGTGTTTAGCAGGGATGATACAGACTATGATAGGTTGTCCCTGGAATGACTCCAATTTCAGTGTGACAACAATCTTGCTGAACTGTGTATGTAAACCCAAACGTTACAAGCTTTGTAGATGCCTCCCTTCCATTAAAGGACAGCTCCAGTTAAGACTTTTATTAACCTTTGCAGTGGAGCTACCCCAGCGCTGCAAGGGTTAACTGCTCATTTTTGCCTAGGGTCAAAGTTATACTTGCCTGAACCTCAGCCATCGGCTGACAGCGCTCCCTCCTGCTTATCTCCTCCACTGCAGCAATGGTATGTCCCTTGGTGTCCTCACATCCTATTTAGTGCATTGGACGTGATTTCTCAAGGGTCCATAGACCATTGCAGCAGAGGGGGAGAGAGGCTCCAACCGGTCCAAGGATTGGGTGAGTATAACGCACCCTAGGCAAAAACCCGCTGTTCACCCTTGCAGTGCAGAGGTAACCCCGCTGCAAGGGTTAAGAAACGTTTTAACCGGAGTTCTGCTTTCCAGGCAAACCAAAAACCTCCCCTTACAATGGGGCTACCCCTGCACTGCAAGGGTTAACTGCTCAACTACACCCAGGGTACCCCTGGCAGTCATCACTCCGCTCTGGCTTGTAGACTGTCCCTCAGGTCTCAGGGCCATGCATGAGACGTCAGCAGGCTTCCGACTACCAGAGCGGAGGGGGGAAGACATTGCAGGTGTCAGGCTTGGAGCCTGCAGGATCGGGGATCAGGTAAATAAGACTGCTTTCATTCGGTCCCTTAGGCATAAATGGGCAGTTAACCCTTGAAGCCCCGCTGCAAAGGGGAGGGGTTTGTTTGCCTGGAGAGAGGGTTTAAAAATTCTGGGTTTTCATTGTGTCAAAACTTCGCAGTTTGATTTAAAGGAGAACTATGAGGTGAGTGCTTTTCACTCACCTCATAGTTCTAGCTGACCTGTGACAATGAGACTGTCACAGGACGGCTCAGTAGATCGGGAGGTGAGCGAACACATACCGGCGTTCCCTCACTTCTGAGATAAACTATAGGCTGACATGCCGACATACAGACCAGATGAACCCTCAGCCTATATCCTGCTATTCACCACTGAATGCAGCATCATGAGACACGTAGTTCCATAGAATCTGAGAAGCAATGGCGCATGCAGACATACCGGAAGTTGGACACTTTAGCATTAAAAGATATCTAAACTCAAGAACAAAAATGTAATAAATTGCAGCCTATCAGTTTTTGGATGTGGTGTCTGCATTAGTTTTGTTTTACATGCTAGGTAATTCTCTGCTAGTACCGATAATATCTGTTGATCTTGCCAAAAATTCAGTGTCCTTGGAACTTCCTGTACACTAAACTGAAATTCTAAACAATGTTTTCAGCTTCTCCAGCTATTTTCTGTGGACTACAGAACACCTCCTTACTATGTAATGCAGATGGGCGGTATTTGTAATCCAAATCAGCAGGGCAGCCTAGGGTGACAATGCTGCCAGAGTAAGTGAGCGTTGTCAGAAAAAACTTAATGAAAGAAAACAAATGCAGCCATATTACTTTTTTTATTTTCAGGGTTAGATTTGCTTTAACACTTTACAGCAATGCAAATCCAGCTTTTCTGAGATGACTCCTTCCTGTGCAAATACACGGTTTTAGTTGAGTGGGGGAGGTTAAGCTGGGTACACAAAATTCAAATTTCATCCGATTCAAAAGGAATTGGCTGAAATGTGATCAGTGAGTGGCCCCATCTCCTTGACAAAAATTGATAAATAGATCAACTTTTGATGAGGGGACATGTGGGAAAATTGTAAGTCAAACAGAGCTTGCAGCTAGTCAGATGCAAGCACTGTATGGGTATCCTGACAGGATACCGTTAATTAACAGATGCTGTTAATGTGGATGGAGGAATCTGTCCAAGGGAGTCACCTCATAGTTCTAGCTGACCTGTGACAATGAGACTGTCACAGGACGGCTCAGTAGATCGGGAGGTGAGCGAACACATACCGGCGTTCCCTCACTTCTGAGATAAACTATAGGCTGACATGCCGACATACAGACCAGATGAACCCTCAGCCTATATCCTGCTATTCACCACTGAATGCAGCATCATGAGACACGTAGTTCCATAGAATCTGAGAAGCAATGGCGCATGCAGACATACCGGAAGTTGGACACTTTAGCATTAAAAGATATCTAAACTCAAGAACAAAAATGTAATAAATTGCAGCCTATCAGTTTTTGGATGTGGTGTCTGCATTAGTTTTGTTTTACATGCTAGGTAATTCTCTGCTAGTACCGATAATATCTGTTGATCTTGCCAAAAATTCAGTGTCCTTGGAACTTCCTGTACACTAAACTGAAATTCTAAACAATGTTTTCAGCTTCTCCAGCTATTTTCTGTGGACTACAGAACACCTCCTTACTATGTAATGCAGATGGGCGGTATTTGTAATCCAAATCAGCAGGGCAGCCTAGGGTGACAATGCTGCCAGAGTAAGTGAGCGTTGTCAGAAAAAACTTAATGAAAGAAAACAAATGCAGCCATATTACTTTTTTTATTTTCAGGGTTAGATTTGCTTTAACACTTTACAGCAATGCAAATCCAGCTTTTCTGAGATGACTCCTTCCTGTGCAAATACACGGTTTTAGTTGAGTGGGGGAGGTTAAGCTGGGTACACAAAATTCAAATTTCATCCGATTCAAAAGGAATTGGCTGAAATGTGATCAGTGAGTGGCCCCATCTCCTTGACAAAAATTGATAAATAGATCAACTTTTGATGAGGGGACATGTGGGAAAATTGTAAGTCAAACAGAGCTTGCAGCTAGTCAGATGCAAGCACTGTATGGGTATCCTGACAGGATACCGTTAATTAACAGATGCTGTTAATGTGGATGGAGGAATCTGTCCAAGGGAGGGGGCAGGCACCGCTGTCAGAATACAATGTACACAATGGGCGATTCATTCATCCATGCTGTTAATGTGGATGGAGGTATCTGTTCAGGGGACAGGGGCAGGCACAGTTGTCAGAATACAATGTACACAAAGGCGATTCATTGATGCATTCATGCTGTTAATGTGGATGGAGGAATCTGTCCAGGGGAGGGGGCAGGCACCGTTGTCAGAATAAAATGTACACAATGGGAGATTCATTCATCCATCCATGCTGTTAATGTGGATGGAGGTATCTGTTCAGGGGGCAGGGGTGGGCGCTTTCAGAATACAATGTACACAATGGGCGATTCATTCATCCATGCTTTAATGTGGGTGGAGGTATCTGTTCAGGGGACAGGGGCAGGCACCGCTGTCAGAATACAATGTACACAATGTACACATGCTGTTAATGTGGGTGGAGGAATCTGTCAGAAAATCTCTCCATATATACTCAGCTTTAGGTAGGGAACACACGGAGCAAATTTCAGCCCATTCAGCAGGAATTGGCTGAAACTCACTGCATTGGTGACCTGATTCCATCAGCAGAATCCATCCATCATCAGCAGAATCGATTGTCCTTAGATCGACTTTTACCGAAGGAGCGTGTTGGAAAATCTTTGGCCGAACAGTGCTTGCAGTGAATCAGCTGCAAGCTCCAGATAGCAGCCAGCGCCACTGCGAGAATACAATAGAAACGGGGGAATGATCCATCAACGCTGTTCAGTGTGGATGGAGAAATCTGTTCTATTGTTTTCATCCAGCGTGCAGGTTAAACCAAAAAAACAGAGCTTCAGATTATCTGTCAAGTTTTTATTACTGTAGCATCCTTTTCCAGTGACTCTGGTTCCCCTGAATTCTTGTCCTGGTAAGACTGCAACAGAAAGCAGTGAGGTGAAACCGCCCAGTGGGAAACAACAATAAAAAGCTGACGGTGAATCTATCACTTACCCACTCTATGGAAAACTTGACAAAAACCAAGTTTGTCAGAACTTGGACAGTTGGCTGTGGTCTGCAGGGTTTAACAGAGCGGCGCTGAGGCCGAACACAATCTTGCCTGGGAGGAGATTATGGCGGCAGCCCTCGGAGGACCCCCCACCTCCACTGCTGCTGAGAGCACAACGGGTCTTGTGGGGAGGAGAAGGTAAGGAGGCGAGGTACAGGGGGGCGAAGGGAGCTTGGTACCGGGGAGGTGGTGGTGGGGCGGGTATAAGGGCGTGTCTTCTTTCTACGGCTCCAGAATGGACAGTGGATCCTTATAAAGTTCCTGATTTTTGCTTGTGTTATCTTCTCATTGTAGTGTCATACCCTGAGTGGAGGTGCAGTGCTGGGCTGCGGGAACATCTGCCCCTCCCAGCCATGCATCCATATGGGCAATACTGTATGTGTGTGTGCGCTGAGTGCTGCCCCCATTCCACTGTGTGCCATAATGTGGCAGCGCTCTCTAACACGCACAATGTGCATTAAAGGGTAAGTTCACTTTCCCAAGTAATTTGGAAACATGGAATTACCCGCTCAAATATGTAACCCTCCCCCCCCCACTATACTTACCTTTCTGTGAACAGTCCCTCCCCTCCGCGGGTACAGGTCTAATGTCTGTACCCCGTACTACCGTCTAGTACAGCCCAGCACTGTGGATTTTTAATTTCGCTGGCAAATTGCGAGCACTCATTGGTCAGCATGGTCACCTGACCACATTGACCAATGAGAAGCGCTTCTTCATCGCACGTTTAAATACAGTTTTGGTTTAAATAATTTTTTTATCAGTACAAGTAGATTGTCATGAGCAAGTCGTTTTTTTTTTATTTCCACACCCCTGAGCCCTCTCCTTCTTTGGAAGTGTCTAATTACTCTCTGTGCTGGCCTAACTCCT